AACAAATAAAATCACAAACAGATAAAAATATATGCTTTGCTATTCAAACCAGCATGAATATTATTTTGGTGGTTGTACTTGCATTTCAACTGTTGTACCATCTAACCTTTCTTCTTTGTACTCCATAACCTTCTTGGAATTTTAAACTGAAACAATTTATTCAGTCTACAGTGGATATATTGTTTTCACTCCACTTTGCATGTTTAAGAGACATTGGTTATGACTTGGCAGTCTTATTTCTTCTTTTAGAAAAGAGTAAGTGACTTTTCAGCACTACCAAACCCAGGGATTAAACTCATGACTGCTAGGGAATCAAATATGTTTTAACCAAAGGCTTGAATCCACTAGACCCTGTGTTTCTTGGGAACCTACGATTGATATTCTGGAGTCAGGTGGTGGATCTGCAAGACTCGAGTGTTGGATGATATTCAAAAGCAAGTTCAAACCTTTGGAGATATCTCTCCCAAACCAAGTCCCCCTCAGAAGAAAATATGATCAAGAGATGTGTGTATTCCATCCCATTCAGTTGTCAGGAATACAAAGGAGAGACTAACTGCCCCTGAAAGGAAGGTTGGTGGAACATCGAAAAGTGGTTGTGTTGGGAGAAACATTGAAATTAGTTATGGCTGGTCTTATATGGAGGGAAAAGTGTAGTTAGCCACCTTTGTGGGATTAAGTCAAGATAATAGAACAACACTGGAAGATATGGCTGAAAGAGCCAGTGTTAAGCACTGACAACTGCTTCCACTGGCTTTGCACATGACTACAGACATTAGATTTAAGGCTCAAGAATTTCAACGCCAGATTGTCCAAAAGACACATGCAGTAGTTGTGGGTTCAATCCCTGGATTTGGTAATGATGGAAAGCCAAATATTCTGGTTCAGTGATAAAAACAAACAAGGATTACAGAAGGTAAATAAAACTGGTGAATAACCGATATGAGTTATCTCCCCATAATATGGAAAATAGAATGAGAACAATCTTCTGTTGTGGATTGAATAAAAGGTTTGGTTTGAAATTCCAAAATGGTTACTGAGTATGAAGAGACACTTGAAGAAGGCCAGAGAATAAAATAGCTGAGAAGTGAGTATAACAACCAGCTTGGCTGGTTCAAATAGAAAAGCATATAATAATAATTCTTCATCTCAAAAATATAATAACTGCATCTGGCAACAAAAATTTAACAAATCACAGTAGAAATGACCTTTATTGAAATGGTACAGTTATCAAAAGATGTAATTAATATTAGTTGAATGAAGGTACAAACATAGGTGAATGATAGAATCCACATATATAACAAATGTAACATGTATCCCTATATTTTGTGTATGTAACACTTGAGAGAGAGTAGAAATGCTGACACATGAATAATCTCATTTTTAAAGATACTATTCTAGTTTTTTTGTTTATTTTGAGTTCATGTAATTAACATTTGATATTTTGTTCTCTAAAGAATTTTTAAGTACAGCCAGGTTAATGCAAAATATATATTTTCTTAACAATTTCTGTGTTTTGACTTTACAAATACCATTACTGAATATTAAGAGGTTACTTTTTCTTTCAAGTTGAATCTACACTGTTAAAATCAATAACCATCATTCAGTTTAAATCATTAGAATTAATTTAAAGTAGAAAAAACATCTTTGCACTTCAAATCAATCATCATAAAAGACAACTGGAAAATAAAGCACAAGTTTAGTTCTCTGGCACATCATGAGTTGTTTCATAGAAATTTTTGAAAAATAGTTTTGTATTAAAATTCATCAAGTCAATATTTGATAAATATTTTTTTGTCTAACTGAAGTGGAAACAATTCTTAAAAACTTTTCTCTTCATTTTTTTTTCTGTTAGGCCCACCAATGCCAAATAATGTCAACAAGTCAAAATTTGACCCTCACTTGGATTGTGTGCATATATATATATATATATATATATATATATATACACACACACACATTACGTTCTAATATAATATCAATAATAAAATAATTTTGCATTTTATAACAATACAGTAGTTTATATGCTTAAAATGAAAATCTAAATAGTATTTTGTACTCATTTGAAATTTTTTCTTCATTGCAAATTATGAGCATTGCAAGATATTAGAAGTTGAATCCTAAATCCCTTATACTTCAAAGTTTCAAAACTTAAAATATCTTGGATTGTTGCTGAACTTTACATTTTATAACTAAAGGTTAATGAAGCCCAATAATTAAGAGGGTATAAAGATATTAATGTGCAGTATATCAATATAATCACTCTATAACTGTTTTAAAGATTTACTAGAACATTTCTTAACACATACAAATATAGGGCTGGAAAAGTTTGTTTTAATGGCATAAAACAAAAATACCTAAGCATTCACGGATGATAAGGCCTTAGTAATAAGAAAAATAAAATATTGGCTTTTTAAATACTCAAAACTGTGGGCATATAATGTAATATACAAAGGAACTGAAGATTATTTATTCAGATTTCCTTTTAAAGAGAGCAATATTACAAAACTATTGACACGTTTATCAGGAAGTAAAAAGGAGTTTTCTATGTCAAGTTTCTATTTCTACTACATAAAAGGTGGTCAGTTTCACCCATTTGATGACATACAAAATGTTACTCCTACACATACGTGTGTGTGTGTGGATACATCTGTATTTTATATATGGGGATAAGCACCCAAATGAAACATCTTTTGAAAAGTTGAATATTAGATGCAAGGGAGGTAACAAAGATGTTACAATTGGATACGTAAACAAGAATTATGTTTCTTATGTCGGCACGTTCACTGAGTGTGATAATTTAAATGCCAATTTACAAGGGAGAAAGATTTTTGCCTTGTGTGAAATAAATTTTGAAAATCTGTGTTGTTTAGCTTACTCAGACACAAGATCATATGAAGACAGAGAAATATTTGCACCAATCTTCCCACTGAGGTGGACTTATAGTTTCCATTCAAGACTCAACATTTGAAATCATATCGAACACAAACCACTTTTACAGATAATGGTTTCATAAATAATAGAGTTTTTATAAATTCACTATACAATTATTTTGGTAAATATATATCTGTAAGGCATAGGTATATTTTGACGGTTACCCCCTTGCATTGTAGATTTTCCATTGAAATTTTTGTGTCTTTCTGTTGCAAATACTTGGGGGGGGAGGATGGTCATATGTATGTCTTGATAACCTGAAGAGATAAGTTGTGTGAACTAATAAATATTTAATTTCTTTTTTCTTAAGTGCTTGCAAGTTCAGTTGTCTGTATTGAATGACTTAACTGTGACAAAGTAAAAATCAAACCTGGCCACATTATTTTTTTTTTAACTCTCTGCATAGATTTTATAGAATCCATTAAAGTGAACCTAATAGGATTATAGGATTCAGAATTTTATTTGCTCATATCTGGCAATTTTGCAGTTTTAAGTACCATTTAACTGTTCACCTTATAGAATTACAATTGTTTAATAGGAAAAGCAAGAAATCAAATAAATACTGCATTGCTCAATATGGTAAAAATAATTAGGAAATTTCTATTTATGTGCTTAAAATCTCACTAAGAATTTTGCTATGAATAAATGCTGATGAATACAAATTGACATTGTTTTTGTTGCTAAGAAGGACAAACAGAAGCTGTACAGTATTAAATACATTATTGTTACAAGGAAAAAGTAATAATGACAAAAAGACAAAGAAAGTGTTAAACAGATCAGTTGTTTCAGCCTCAACACAAATCCAGACTTTTCAGACGAAGAAAATATACATTATTATCATTATTAACAACAGTCATTATGATTTTTCATCATAATACTCAAATAATTTTTCAAAAACAAATTAGAACAAATATTTCTAAAATGCTGCTTCAGATTTGGGATATAATGGGATGTGGAAAATAAGTTTTAATGAATAAAAATATTTTATGAAGCAATAACTAAATGGTGATGTAGGGAGGAGATGGGAATTGAAAGAAAAGCAGAAAAATGCCAACTTAATTTTAGCAAAACATGAATAAAAATACTGAAAAAAAAAGCTAACATTTTAATTAATCAATTTGTGCACCTTCATTATTCTATTTAAAATATTTAACTCAGGAATTCTGTTTAATTGATTTATAATTTTTAACCTATTTTATTAGTTTTGTTTATTTAATTTCATCAGTTACCATTAAAACTAAACTTTATAGAATTTTTGTTTGGAATTTTAAAAATGTTAATTGTATTATTTGTAAAATTTGTCTAAAAAATAGCTCCCTATGAATGTAAAATATTCAATTCAAAATAAATTCAGAAATATAAATACAACTTTTTGTTATTAATTTTGTAATGCAAAAATATTATCAAAAAACTTTGAATTTCATTTAATGTCATTTTTATTTGTTGCTATCAAAATATTTAAATGTTTGGTCTTTATTCATGAAATTTAATGTCTATTAACTGGCATACTTCATGAAAAAATGGATCAAATTTCCTAGTTAACCGTTTTTAGTTGCTGAGAAGGAAAAAAAAAAAACTAAAAATTTGTCTGTATTTATCTAAACAAGAATGATTTGCTTTTTAGTTCTTTTGAAGTAAAAATTAAAACAAACATTTACATATTTCTTCGCATTCCATTCATAAAATGTCCCAAAACTCTTTTTGTTTAGATTTAAACAGATTTCCTCTATTTTGTTGTGATTATAAATTCCCTGCCACATTTGATTAACAATAATATGAATTACAGACAAAACAAAATAAAAAGGTTAGTGATGATCTTGCACACTATTAACCCAGATTTATATTTTTATATATATAAAAAAAAAAAAAAAAAAATAGGGAGCAACTTTTTAAACGGCCTTTATAAAAAAAAAAAAAAAAAAAAAAATCAAACAACCCTCCAATACTCTGAAGAGTAGATCAAGATCAGATATTTTGGAATTGGTACTTAAGAGAATAAATCTTTGAGGAGTCACTAGTTGTATCATCCATGCCTGGAAATGGTTTTTATTAAGTACTGGCTTCATGGATCAATAGCAGAAAGCTTGAATTAAGCCCCTTTGAATACTGCAAAAGAAAAAAAAATAGATTACATAAACTTATTTGCAGTAACCTATGAACAAACAATCAGTATTATGTTTTTTTGTATCTCAAGTTATATTGACTGCTATCAGAATATACCTTAATAGCCATTGATTAATTCTACTGGGATGGTAAAAGTACATTCAAATTATTCTGTATTGTCTAGACTTTCTACCACTACCAGAAATATTGTTCAAACCAACCCATTATGTCAATCCTTGTCCCTCATGCTCATTGTGTCATTATTGGGATGGAACATTAATAGTTTATTAGGTGGAAATCTTTAGCAGTGGCTTTTTATAACACTATAATTATTTCATGAAATTTTTATATTAACAGTAGATTTTGTTTTTAATTATCGAATTTTGGAAACCCATAATTCATAGATTTGTTTTTTATAACCTATATTTAACACTGAATTTTTATAATTAATGCCAGGTTTTATGGTGGGCACTAACATGCCAGAATATCTTGTGTGACACAGACAATTCCATTTTTTATGCAAAGTGTTGCTCTTCTTCCACTTTTTTTTTTAAAAAGAAATTCACTCTGGCATGATATAAAATTATCTTCTAATTTCTTTGTTTTCTCATCCTCCTGTAATACTCCCATTCTATTATTGGAACCTCACCTCTCTGGATATTATTTACAATGAAATACTTATTCTTTCTTCTACAGAACATGAATTGGATGAGAAGTACAAACAAACTTTTGGAATGATTATTCATCTCAAAATTACAGACAATGGCAAAAATAAAACCTCAAACCAATCTTTTGAGAAGGTTGCAATATAATTAAAAAATATGCTTCTAGGTACAAGGCAAACTTTAGTTTGAAACTTTGTATTAAATAGAAGGGAGATAGAACACTATTCCCTTACTCTCATAGAACATTCATTGATATTTATTCCACTGATGAAAACTCATGAATACAACTGAATATACTGAAGCTGGTAGAATCCAACAAATATTCATTCTTAAAATGTAATAAATATACCAAGAATTAATGAAGTAATTTCATTTATGCTTGGAAAATCTCACTCACCTGATATCAATCCAAGGATCAGGTGTCATAATAATAGATTCACCATCACAATTTAGGGATAACTCCATGTTGCTCCATTCCTGATTATCTCTCTTTGGAAGAATTTTGATTCGTAGTCTTTGAGTCTTGAAGGACTTTACTGAGTCAGGAGGTGTCTGAAAAATTATGACAAGAGAAAAAGAAATTGCACCGAAAATTCCAGGAAAAGAAATGCTCAAAAATAATGATTTTTTTTAAAAGCATTATTTGAATTTCATACAATAAAGAAAACATACTTAATTACTCCCATCATCCATACAGCGTAAAGTAAGGGATCGTCTGCTGCTTACAACACCAAGCAAAAGTCATAAGTGGCAACCCAGAGACATTAGATAAAGAATTGGTCAGTATAAGTAGTACCCTACAACATAACCACCCTGGGTACATGGCAGCAGCCCCGAAAAACCGGAATAGGTGAGTACAAGAGGAGGACAACAACACTCAGAAAACAGTCTGCCTGCCTTATGTGAAGGGGTTATCATAGAAAAACAAAGGATCTGTGGTCCATATAACATCAGGACAACCTTCAAAAGCTTGATGATACTTTGCAGATATCTCTCCTGAGTAAGATCACCACCCCCCAGAGGAGAACATGACTAAAGACTGTGTGTATGCTATCCGGTGCAGCTGCGGAAAGGAATATAAAGGGAAGACAGGCCGTCCCCTTAAGGTAAGGCTTCAAGAACACCAGAAAGCTGTAACATGAGGGGAAGTGGAAAAATCAGGTGTGGCTGACCACATATGGAGAGAGAAGGGAGATCACCGCCCTCTGTGGGTTCAGGTTGAGATCATAGACAAAGAACATCATTGGAAAATTCGTAAACTTAAGGAATCAGCACATATGCTAGGCCACAAAAATCTCCTGAACCAACCAAGCATAGAAATGAATACAATATGGGAACCAGTAATAAGGAGTGCCAGAGGAAAGCGATAACAGCAAAAAGTTGCAATATCAGCTCTGGTAAAAACATGCAATAACAGCAAAAATTGCAATATGAGCACTGATAAAAATGGTTGCCGAGACATTAGGTTTATAATACCCAGAAATTCATACACAGATGTCCTCAAGGACACATGACACAGTGGATAAAGACATTAGATAGATCCAGTGACAGGACCCAAAGAGTGTGAGTTCAATACCCGGTTAAGGCAGTTGAGAACTTTCAGAGGGAAATTAGCAGGAGATAACAGATAACTGACATCCATTAAGCATGGCACATGGAACTAGAACAGTCTACCCCAGTGATCGAAATAAAGGGTTCAGTTCGACATTCCAACCACCTGAGGAAGGCTGGAAGGTACAATGGCCAAAACGTTGTAATGAATATGGTGACAAAGATGAGGATGATAGTCCAAATAATGCAAATAATGTACATAATACCTCATCTCAGAAATATGGAGAGATACTTAGTCAATGGGGCTTTGAAAAGTCCTCAGCTGGACAAAGAAAGAAATCATTTAGACCATAAAATATTCATAACTACTCCACACATTTACTTTTACAATTTCTTTTAAATCTTAAAAGAAATTGGATGTTTGAGGATTAAAATATTGGTAGCTGGAGAAAAAAAAAAAAAATTCTGGACCCCACTTATTTGCACAAACATTCTTACAAGATTTTTTTTTTTTATTATGGTATTTAATTTCTATACAACTGAACAGTAATTTTGAATTGAAAAAAAAACAAAAAAAAAAACAAGAAACAATACAGCTTCTTTAGAAAGTTGACAATTCTTGTGTTCTAGAAGTAGGAGTCACTGTGTAGTCACTTCATATTTATATAGTAAGTTGAATATTTGTCAGGGAGTTTACCTTTATTAAATACCAAATCAGGTCATGGTATCTTTACTTCATATTTGAGTCATTAAATATTTTTAATATATTTAATTGTGAAAAGTTTTTATACAAACAATTTGTTTACAGTATGTTTTTGTTTGCAAAATATAAAATTAAAAACAGCACAACATTGAATTCCTGCTGATGAGATTTTAAATTTTCAGATGAAATTAAAATTTTGTTTTTCAATATGTATTCTTGGATATTGATATAGAGATGTTTCATATATATTTTCTTTTTAAATCATTTCACTCCAAGCAAGCTGATAATCCACTAGGAAGCAGGGAGTGAAAGAGAATGAGAAGACATTAGTGGGGAGAAGTAAGGAAAAAGTAACAGGATTCAGGAAGACAGAAGATGACAATTGACAATGCATTTAAATTTTTGAAGATTGTAGGTGGCAAGGAAGCAAGAAATCAGAAGGGAGTTCCACAGGTGAGAAGTGTGAGAAAAGGAAATATTAGAATAGAACTGGTGGTTGCATCTAGATACTTCAACAATAAAACAGTGAAACCTGGTTGATAATCTAGTAGCATGCTTAAATTCATGCAGTTGAGGCAACAATGAGAACAGCTCATCAGAACAATTACCATGAAAATATTTGTAGAAAAGACAGAGAGAAGCCACATTATGTCAGTGAGAAAGTGACTGAAGATGCCCAGTCAGGATTAATTATATTACAAGTCCTTCTTTGAATTTTGTCAAGAATCTCAAGATATATAGTAGGAGCACCAGACCAGATATGGCAGCAATATTCAATGCATGGACGAATGGTAGATTTATAAATGTATAAGAAGGATTCTGACAAGAATTGTTTAGTACAACACAGTGAACCAATTTGCCTAGCAGTAGACCTAGCAATTAATTCAATATAATCACTCCACTTCATGTCAATGAAAAACATGAGCCCAAGAAGGTGTAAAGTGTTGCTCTACTGGAGTTTAGCATCAACCATACTGATGAGAGGCAGAAAAAGGTTCTCTGTAGTGATTAAATGAAATCAGTTTGGGTTTTGGAGGCATTAAAATTTACAAGCCATTCTTGCTCCAGTTAACCATTAATTGGGAATCCTTTTCAAGATTAGTTTCCAGTTTTACTTTGTCAGATCTGTTGAACATACTATTAAAACAGTAAATAGTTGTGTTATCAGAATAGATACCTAGTTGGGAACAGATGATGTATGGAAGGTCATTGACGAAGATTAGAAACAGCGTAGGTCTGAGGATAGAGATATGGGGGACACCTGCATTAATATGAAATGAATTAAAAGTATGTCTGTTCAACAACTTTCATTACATGGTTTCTTAGGGATGACTGGATTAAGCCAAATGTTTTTCCATAGACACAGTAGCCCTTGAGCTTGTGGAGAAGACCATGCTAAACCCTATCGAATGCTTTCAAGATATCTAGGACCACAGCTCAAGCTTCACTGTTCTTATCTAAAGCTTGATAAACAAATTCAGTGATGGCTATTAATACATCAGCTGTATACCTGGAGAAATGCAATCCATATTGCTTATCTGAAAGGAGGTCATGTCAAATAAGAAGCTTAACCAATTTAATGTTGATTAGAGGCTCATGGGATTTTGCCCAAAAGAAATTAATAGGGAAATAATTCAAGGGGTCAGATAATTCCCCAGTTCTTACAGACACAAACAAGCTGGAAAGCAAGAAGTAGCAAGGCATTTATTGTAAAGCTTGGAAAGAACAGGAGCCAGGTCAGGAGCACATTTCTTTAGTTGCAGGGTTACCATCAAATCAACAAGTCATGTGATGGGGATCTAGTTTAGAAATGAGAGCAGAAATCATAGATGGAATTATGTGCATATCACTCAGTAGAAACGTTTTTTTATGAGGAAAATCAGGAAGAGATACTGCAGAGGAGTTTAGAGTGTAGTTGAAAGAGAATTTCCAGGTAAAGTGTCCTGCTTTATTTGCAGTAGATGACAACACTTCAAATTGATTGAAGAGAGGAAGGACTGAGAATTTACTCTTGTTCAGTACACTCTTGCAGAGCCGCCAGTAATCTCTAGAACCAAACATGTGAGCGGCAGTACAGTGTCTTGCTTTATCAGCTAAATGTGACTTTGCTTCTTTGAGGATATGTTTACATTCATTATGAGCTGTTAAAATCAGACCTGTTGTTCTGGTATGACTGGAAGCAGCAAGATCTATAGAAGCTGAATAGGTAGGAGAGAACCAAAGACAAGATTGTGGTTTTACTTACTATTTCTGTACTGGCACAAATATTTTGATGAAGGTTTTCACCCAGGAATTGACCTCAGATGCACATTTCTCAACAGCATGATTAAAAATATCATTTCAAGGGATATTGTGAAGGAAAATGAATCCCAATCAGTGCATTGATAACAAAAACAGGTTCTGTTAATAGGGAGTTCTTGCCTTATGAGAAAACAGAATAGAACTGATTTCCTATCAACAGGAAGCATAATTTGATAATAGAATAAAATTTCTATATAAGGGGTTATTTTATAAATGAAAGATTGTTGCCCAAATATGCCATATATATGCTTAGAATTTGCTATGTTTATAGAGTAAGTGTTCAATATTAAAGTATCAGAGATAAAGTATTTGTGGATATAGACAGTGTAGACATAGGAATCAGCACTCTGGTGACTGTCATTTTCACAACTTAAGATTGCTTGAGACTTCAAGTTTATTTTGATGTGAACTGATGCATATACAATCAGAGACATTCCTATATACGAAAGGTGTTGCAAACTTCTCAGCCTGACCAACTTTACAAAATCTGACCAAAGATCAATTTATTTTTTTCTGAAATCTGCTCTTGGTTCGGCTAAGATTTTTCAGCACCCCTCTTCTATGCACATAAATGCATATGCACAAATATATTGTTTAAAAGATGCTATATTTATAAGGAAAAGTACTCAATATTGAAGATACAGTGTGTATAGATATAGACAGTGTGGATATAGGAATCAACACTGCACTGTAACTGTCAGTTTCACACCTCAAAACATAGGCCACTGGGCAATTAGTAGTGACACATCTATAGATCATGTGCAAGCAGTAGTGATACATAGACTGAAAACTGCTTGAAGCATGAAACTGATAGTCACCATACAGTGATTCCCAATGTCCATACTGTCCCTGTCTTGCTCTCTAATTATATACATTAAAAAAATATTTAAACAAGAAATAAATTTTAAAAAAAATGGAATAATCCTAAAATTACCCTAATTACCAAAAAAGTTCTGTCTGTGAAAATGGAAATGACATTGTTGCATTATCTTTGACACTCAGAACCAAAGGAAGAGGAACAGGTATAGGGAGACAAGAAAATAATGAAAAGGAGAAATAGCTTCAACATTTGACACATGCAAAGAGAGGGAGAGAGAAAAAAAAAATCAACACCAATAAATAGCACATAAATTATTTTTAACTTGGTATAAAAATAATGAAAATGAGAAAATCTACAGTCAACTACTGAAATCTCCAGACAAGTGGACCAAACAATTATAAAAGTTTGTCTACGAAACTCTGGAGTTGGTGTACTGAATATAACATTAATAAACTAAGTGACATTTTATATTAATTTATATTTATATATATATATTATATATATATATATATATATATATATATATATATATATATATTCTCAGTTTATTTTACCTTGAGTTTTTTCATCATTTCAAAGCCAAGTTTGAGTATTTCCAGTGTATTATTACAAACTGAGACTTCAGAAAATTGATTATCATGTGGAAGATTCTCAAGGCTGGAGAAAAAAAAGATGCCAACAAAGCAACCACCAAATTTCACCCAACCTAAAAATAAGAGAAAAAGTAAAACAGAATTGAAAAGAAATCTGGGTATAAATTTTTTTTTAAGCATTACAAAACAAACACTGCTAAGCATTTAAAAGTATTTTACAAACATCTTTATTCATTGTTTGATAATGTTATTGATGAGGATATTGTATAAAATACACTAAATTACTAGAGAATGAAAGGAATAAGTACATTTTTTTTTTATTCCTAAGTAAGAATAAAAAGAATCACCTCATTTTGAAATTTTGTGAACAGACACATTTCTTCTGCTAGATTGAAAACTATAGAACTGTTTTTAAGGAATAATTGAAAAACAAAAAATCTTATCTTTTTCCTGCTAAGCTGTTTAATAATATTTTTTTCTTTTTCAATAAAAATCAAATTCAATATAACTTTGCTCACATCTTGAATGGACATACACAATCATGGCTCTCCACAACTTCATATTTTATTCCACTCATTCTTGAGCAGCTTCTTCTCATGAACTGCTGCTTTGTAGAATCGACTTTCAAGAGGATGCTTCCCCAATCATAACCTGTTCAAGTCTAGAGTTAACCATTATACTCCACACATATCCTCATAAACTGTGACCGTTACTCTATAACCCTCTACTTTGAGTGCCTTGTACAGGGTGAAAATTCCAATCCTATATGGAATGACTGTAAAACACTTTCCCCTCCCCAATTTATAGGTAGAAGCAGATAAATGCATGCTAGGATTTTTTCCTAAAATAGTCCCTGGTTAGTCTTGTTTTGAAATCAGAATGCTACATTCACTTATCTAAATTTGCTTGTGTGTCAACCCCAATTTGTAGTTTGTCAAATTTTTGCCATATCACTGCTGCTTTGCCTTATTACTGTTAATTTGCCTTGCATATATTGTTTGCTTGCTTTATATTATTTTTTTTCCTGTTATTTTCTTTTTTTTTTCTTGTTGTTTATTGCAAACTTTGTCAATTCTGTTTGTTGGGTAGTTAAGCCATTTATTTACATTTAACCATGGCTACTCACTCTACAGTAAAAGAAAGAAAAAAAAATATTGCTCGAAATTGTCAAGAGGGTTATTCACCATTTTTTCCTACTTGCTTTCAATATGCCATGTAAGTGTTAAATTCTCTAATACTTCTTTCCTCATTATACATTCAAAAAATTTCATCTTTGATTTTTAACAGTTTCTATTTTCCTTAAAACTTCCTCATTTGTCACAAGTTATATAATTCTCAGTATTTGTCAACAGAACTAAATTTCTGTTTAAGTTTTTTTTCTCTCATCAGTGAGGAGATTCACTACCATATAGGATATTAGATGTTACATTGTAGTCCAGTACAATTTTCTTTTTCATTCTTTTCATATCTGGTTCACTTCCTGAAAACATCTTTTGCTATAGAAAAATTCCTCTATGATGCTATTATTTGATACTATATTACCAAGATAGTTACATATCTGCACCAGTTTGTTTCTTATATACCCAATACATAACTCATTCCTTCAGTGGTGTAGTTAGTGTTTTTGCCGCCCCTCCCCAGAAGGAATACAATATTACAATGCACATTAACCCCTTAAAGTTTTATATATATATATATTAGTCAACAACAAAATTATTTGTACACCCATCAATTTTTAATATTTTTATCCATTTCTCAAAATCTAATGTCTGTATGATGCCAGGCTTTTTTCTGTGTTTCTGTTAATGTGGTATTTATAACTCCTCACTGATAAATTATGAAATAAAAGTACAATTGTGTTTATTTTTAAAAAAATAAAACTGAGGATATATATAAAAAAAAAATGTAGACATTACTTTTTTTTCTAAATCGAGAAAACTTTAAAAACTTTATGATAATAAAAGATAACTTGTTTTTGTTTATATATCCTCCGTTTTATTTAAAAAGAAAAACAAAAAACATATTGTACTTTTAATTCATAATTTTCTTTTTATAGTAATTTAAAAAAAAAAAAAAATATATATATATATATATATATATATATAAAATTTCATGTACATACAATAGGTATACTATATTTAGATGCATTTATCTTTACTTACCAGGATCAGCAGGTAAGGCAACCATATCATCTTTATCACCACTTTCTTCACTAACAAAAATAAAATATAAACAAATTAATGAATCTAAGTTTTTCATTATTATTAGTGTATTCAATATAGCAAATCCACTATTGTTATTCTTTTATTTCATTGTTAGTAACTGTTTTTGGTATCAACTATTTTTTTTTATTTCTCAGACACATGGAAGTAGAGAGGATGAGCCATCAGCCAGTTAACCAAAAATGTAAAAAGTTTATCTTTGTACATTGATGCACCATGATTGAAAATGTTATTGCAAAGTTGTAGCTATTATAATTTCAGGAAGTGATGGCAGACATTTTGATTTATGTGATAATAGGCAGTCAGAACAAATGTATGCTCAGTTTTCAACAATGAAACCTGCATAAAGATCATGATTAATTTATTGGTTTTTATTCGGTCATTGTCACATTTAACAGACAAATGCAATTAGACTGCAGCTTCTCAAATTTTTGCACTTGCTACACACTTTTTATAAATAAAACTTTTTGCAATAAATTAAGTTTTCTTAGTTAAGCCAAATATAATATTCAAAATTTATGTTAAGAAATAGTTCCTGTTTGAATTTCTGGAATGAGGGGTTATTGATACTTGCACTGTTGTCTTTAAATCTGTTGCCACTGTATTAATGTTTCAGTTGTCATGACCTCCTGACTAATGCCTAATGGATTAAAGCATTGGTTTGTAAATTTGGTAACAGTAATTGTGAGTTCAATCCCTGGGTTGGGTAGTGTAGAACCTTTAGAGTTCAGTTCAAAATTTCCTGAATAGACATTGCACATAGATATATATATATATATATTTTATTTTGTTAACTGTTTTTATCATTATAGTTATTTGGATAATCAATCATTCTGAGTTTGCCATATCTTGGCAACTGTAAATAAAGCATATCAGATGATTGTAAAAATCATCATTTTAAAGTACTGTCAAATCAAAAATAGTTGTAAAGAATACATTTATACGGTGTTCTCTTATAAATACATGGATTTAAAAAAAAAGAAAAGTTTCTTCAATCTCTACAAATTCTGATCTAATATTGTGAAACATAAGATTGTATTCTGAAAACAAATTTTTGCAATTTTAAACATTTTCAATTGATACTTTTTTTAAAAATATTTATTAGTGGATTAGTCAATAAAATTTAATTCTTATATTTAAAGTAAATATGGAAATATTTTCACATTTTATCCATGTAGGACTTCATGTTTGGCCAGAATGGAAGTCATGAAGAATAAAAATTACACATTTGGGGGGAAATTGTTGTTAGCGAATTAACAGAAATCAAATTGGTTTTTAGAAAATCAAGAGGGATTGGAGCAAAATAATCAGTCAAGGAAGATTTGAAGGATGTGGTGGAAATTATTTAAAAACTTCAGAAAGAAGTCAGTAAATTTCAGTGTATTGATTGAAATCATTTCCAATCATTTAAGAGTGACTGGCATGAGAAATACAAATAAAAGCTTTATAAATGGGTCCAAAGAATAACTAATTGAGGGAAAAATGTATATATGTTTCTTTTTTTTTTATGAAAAATGAGTTTTCTTTAATAAAGGAAGGTTGGCTGAATATAGATGAGAAGCAGAAAGAAAAACCAAAACATCATCTTTAGAAATTATGGTGAGCATTTGTTGGTACAAGAGATAACCAATTAATATACATATAGACCAGCTTGAAAGAGTGTATTCAGAATGCATGTCTCAGAGAATTTGCTTATATATATTTTGACCAAGAATGTTTTTAGTTCCTTTGAAACAACAAAAGAGAAAAAAACATACATATTTTTTTCAACAGACATTCATAAATGCTCAAAAACTGGTTTTACTTAACAAATTTTCTCTATTTTGATTGTGATTCTCTGTCAATATGAATTGCAAAGAGGACAATAGTTTAGCAATGATCTTGTAAACTATTCCAACCCAGTTAGGCAATTTTTAATTCCTTTTTCAGCAACTAAAAACAGTTAAGTAGGAAATTTTATCCATTATTTTTTCATTAAATATGCCAATTAGTCAATATAAAATCTTACAAATAATGACCAAACAGTTTTATAGCAACAAATAAAAATGGCATAAAATAAAATTTCAAGTTTTTGATAATTTAGTTATGCAAAAATAAAATCATTAAACTATATATTGTAAATATATATGGAATTAAATTTTTTATATTTACTTGAAACTTATAAAATAGGAGTTGGTAATATTAGCAATTTCTTTATAAGGAGGCATTTTGACATTCATTTACCAAGTTACTATTTATAAAATATATCTAAAAAGCAACAGAATTAATATTTTAATGAATAAAAATTTTGAAGAAAATATTAGTTTTGTTTTAATGGCATAAAGTAAAATTAAAACAAAAAAAAACATGGAACTATTTTTTCTGCAATCCAAAATCTTAGCAAAACTACATACTACAAATTAAGTCTTCAAGAAAACAATTACTTAAAAAAAAGTTTTAAATGAAACTTTGATTATTACCATTATTTTATTTGTTTCTTTTTTTATCAGAGTTGGTTCATGCTTTGATAAAATTTAATATTTCTAGTAAAAGTAATATAAAAGAATTGGAAAGGAAGGAAAAAAAAAAGATTGATTTGTTTTATCAGAAGGCTTCTGTGGCTCATGAAAGATGAGTTGCTGAAGTGAGTGATAGATTCAAATTTCACTGCAAGCTATTCATTTCAGATTTTATACTATTTCCTTGCATGATCAAAAAATATATTGACAGTGATGAAAAAAAAAAAAGGTTAAAGTATGTCTGAATCCAGAGTGTTGTGCTAAAAAGCAAGAATAAGAGGAGTCAAATTGGGAATAAAAACAATCATATCATTCATTTCTCTGAATTAACTTCTGAAGTTAACAAAATAGGAAATATTTATGAAAAGAGGGAGGAAAAAAGCACAACCTTTTTCGTTCTGCCTTTTCATGAGCCTTTTGTGCCCTTTTGGCATCTTTGACTTTTTCCTTAGATTCCTTGGCTTTTTGTTTAACTTTCTCTTTTGTCAGTTCTCCCTCCTCTTCACCCTCTGCTTCCTCCTCCTCCTCTTCCTCTTGTTCTGTAGATTTTGTACTTGCTTCTTGGTAGTACTCCTTGTACTCAATTTCAGCATCAAATTTTCTCAGTGTAAATATTCCACTCACTAAAAAAACTAAATAAAAAGTTAAAATATTAAAATAAATACTGATCTTTGGATTATTTTGCAAATTTAAAAAAAAAAAAAAAAAATTCTGTCAAGCCTAGCACAAGGCCATTCCTTTGAAAATGAATAAATAAAATAGAGAATAATGTAGTTGCCATGAAATTTAACATTTTTAAAAGCAAGTATCCCACTTTAAAAAAAAAAAAAATTTTTTTTTAAAATACCCTGTCAATTTGAATTAAAATCAGTGTTGCTAAAATCTTCTACCTGGGACCACTATTTTTCAGAATTTGATATTAGTAATATTAAAATTCTTTGGCTTGGTTTTATGGCACATCAACCTTTTTTCCAGATTATTTAATACAGAATCCTGTTGTACAGTACAAATAAACAGGTGGCTTTTTTGGATAGGAGGCACCCCAGCACTGTGATGCAGTCAGCATATTCCTGATCCAAAATGACAGGATGATAATACTGAAAAGTATACAAATATTTCAAGCCTGATAAACAACACTCATGATATGTTTTTTTTTATCTTTTTATGTTATGAAGAATAATCAAGTCTGTTAATAAAATTATATTAAAGCTATTAACATATTTGGTCTTAAGTTCTGCTTGGCTGCCTTAAATAATGATTAACTGATATATTGATAAAAATACTTTTAAAATTATGGAATAATAAAATAAAAAGAAATAAAAGTCTGCAGGTTTTATGCCAAAGCCAGCTTTTTTTATGCCACAAGCACAAAATAAAACATAGTTGACAAAAAGATTTATTATAGAACCTAAAGGAAAATAATTGAAGAAAGTTTACTGTCGTAGTATCAATGTCAGCACAAAAAAAAAAAAAAAAAAAATGTATAAAATGTGAATTTAAAAAAAAATAATCTCTCAGCATATATTTTTCTTTTTTGGTAGAAAAACTTTCATATTTTACTATTTTTGTTCTATATTGCTCCAGAATGATAAACAGTTTCATAAAACTAAAAATTTTTAATAATAAAAAAATCATTTCATCTGTGGTTTGTCTAAATAAAAAAACATACTGAAAACAAAGTATGCAATAATGTGAAGTGAAAATTTAATAAGAAATTTTAAAGTGAAATTAAGTTTTAAATATCAATGATGAATGCTGTAGAATTTCTTTTTTAATTTCACATTGATGTACATCAGAAATATTCCAGATATTAGAATATTTTTTATATTATCCTAATTATTGACATTAATTTCTTAAAAAAAGAAAAATTGAAAACAAATTATATATATATATATATATATATATATATATATATATATATATATATATATATATTTTAAGACATTTTTATGTTTATACATTTTTTTTTTTTTTTTTATAGATACAAATATTTAAGTAAATGCTCTGTTATAATAAACAGTATTAACATTTACTGACCTGAATGCCCAAGAAATTGTCATAGAAAATGTACGTCCCCCGACAGGAATTGAACCTGTATTCTATACGGAATCGTCATATAGCCTGACGTACTTTTACCGATTTCACCACAGAGGAGCATTTCGGTTTGTCCATTTATGTGTGTGTGTGTGTGTGTATGTCTATGAATATATATATATGTGTGTGTATATATGTTTGTCCATTTCATAATGTGTGATGTCATTTGTTTACATTTGGATACTCATCGAGCAGATATTAATGTACATGAGAAAATCATGGAAAATTGTAGTTTAAAAACAGTAAAATTGACCTTGCTAAATGAAACACTATATATATCTCATCACTAACTTTGAAGAGATCTATAATTTTACTGCCTATAACACTAGCCCTAAATCATTACGCCACTTCCACCCAGGTCTCTAAGTTATATTAGTTAACTTTGTACGAAGGACCAATCTCTTGCTCAGCCATCACGTCCATCCATCACTAAAAATTACTGTTGAGAAATAAATTTTCATGTACTTCATTGCCTAATTCTTAATTCTGCTTATGGAAAGGATGAAATTAACCTCCATGTAGGTAATTTAAACTTGATTGAAAAACAACAAGTGTAAATTGTTTTAATATTTTGATGTTTGTTTATATCATTACCAAAATATTACAAATGAAAGGTGGTAATTTGACTAAAGACATGAAAGTAACCAATGTTCTTAAAATTCTACGTCTGTTTTCATTAATCTCTTTTTTGAAATTTTTGACAATCATTTCAATTTCTTTTTTCGTTGTTCTGTGATTTCTGCACAACTTTTTCACAATTTCTCAAATTATATTCCAATCAATTAATAACATTGCAAAATCTTATTTTACTTTCGAAGTTATACCTTTCTTATGACCCATGTCAATGTTTTTAGTATCTGAAATTAAAAATTGACTATTATATATATATATATATAAATATAGGTAACTACACTCATCTCGGAAAACCTTCAGTTTCTTGATTTGCTAATAATCTAATCAATCAATCTAGAAGGAAAAAAAGGTTTTAAAAAAAGAAAGAGCTATGACCTTGAACGTCTGTTGAAAATAATCGTACAGCATACAGGTCCAAAGCCCAAAGAAAAAAACCCTGATACGAGTAATCAACTAACTTAAAAGTGCTCAATACAAAAGTAGAGCAGACCTAGTCAAACCTAGAGAGCCAGACAAACCTACCAAGGTTTCACCTAAGCTGATTGTCAGGGCTTAGGTGAAACCTTGGTAGGTTTGTCTCTAGGTTTGACTATATATATATATATATATATATATATATATATATATATATATATATATAATATGAGAAAGTGAGATTCCATTTTCATCTGTACCTATTTCAACTTTGACACCTAGGTGTTACTGTTCTAATGTCCGGGACATTTCTTTTAAGTTGCAGGAGACAGTGTAGAAAGTCTGTGATGCCATTTTTTGATATGTATTTGTGTGTGAGTTTTGGTGAGACAGAGAGAGAGTATAAAAGCTGTCTGTAGATATTGGTATAAGGGAAGAAAAGTTTGAACTTTTTTTGACAAATTTTCATTCCTGAATGAATAAATAAACCAATGTTTTCTTTTTAATTTACTGACAATTTACTTTTCTACACAATTTTGCCAGGGAACTTTGGTATGTTTTTATGGGTAAAAGATATGCTGACAGGCTAAATGTTGCTTCTTATTAAGTTTGAGTACCAAAATATCTCATATACCCAGCTTATTAATAGCAAAAATGTCCAATGTTTATGAATGTCCGACATTCATGAAAGAAGGTACATTTTAACTATGGAGCACCAAAAAAGAGCCGCTCTTTTTTTAATGAAGTTGGAGCTGGAGCAGCTCTTTTTGCAAACAAGAAGCCAGCTCCAATTGGGAGTGAGAGCAGCTCCAAAAATTTACATAGTATATTTATTATATAAGTGTTATATAGGAATGAAGTGTCACTGTTGACACTGGAGTTTGAACACAGATCACCAGAGAGCAAACACAGGTGATCCCATTTTGAATAAGTAGATCACGTGATGGTAAAGAAAATGTATATATGAAAATTAGCATGGCATCGAATTGATCACTATTTCTACTCTGTCCTCTATTACTATATGGATCACTATTTTCTATACTATTTCTCTATATGGATCACTATTTGGTGGTTACTATTCGAGCGAGTGCTATTGAGCAAGTACTATTAGTGCAAGTGTTATTTGAAGGCATCTGACACTAGTATAACAATTACTATGGTGTTACTATAGTTGTATCTGATTACAAAGTCTCTACTAAAACGAGCATTATGAAAGTGACAACGAGTATTCATTGACATTACAAAAGTGGCAACGAGTGTTTGTTGACATCACAAAAGTGGTGACGAGGACTCATTGAACTTACATGAGGATTCCTTCAATTTATATGAGGAAAAACAATCTGAAAAATATTCAGCAGAATAGAGTGGAATGGAAAAATTAAAATCTATCATGATTCAAATGTTGGCACTACACAAACAACAAGAACAGTTGCAGCAACAAAAAATACAAGAACAGCAATTGCAGCAACAAAAACAACATGAAAATCAATTACAACTACAGCAACAGGTTTTTTTTGAGTTGCTTACCAATGGAAGGGAAAACTTTAGATTCTTTGACTGCAGATGCTGTTGCTAATTCAGTCAGTGAATTTATATACAATCCAGATAAAGGGATAACTTTTCCATTTTATTATAGAAGATACAAAGGGATCTTCAAAAGGAATTCTTCACGTTGGAATTGTAACAATATTTAGCATGACCGAACGGAAGAAATTGCATTAGTTTATACTATTGATTATTAGAGACCAAAATGAAGAAAATCATATTAGGTGATGTTCTATTCTGTTTCCAATATGAACAGAGAAAAAAAAAAAAAAAAAAAAGACGATATAAAGAAAATAACGCCAACCAGAAAACTTGAAAATCACCCCTTAAAGAAATTAGTCGAGACTTCCGTTCCGTGGTCAGCTTGTTAGGAACAGGGGTTGGGAAGAAGACAATTGGTGATTTTACTCCGAATTCTTCTGTATATAAAGACTTTCTTTTCTACAACGTACTCAGGTGTTGTTCTGTTTATATTTGGTGCCGTTTCATTTACCCAATTGTGCGTCTGCATCTAGATTGGTTCGACTTGACGGAGAGACACTTAGCGAAAACCCACGTAGCTTCCTTGAGATCAAATTCACAGTGTGGGCAAGGGAGTTCATTGTGGGTGGAGTCAACTCAGAGACCGGCTTCTAGCTACCTGTTTCGTCGCTGTCAACGAAGAATCTGTTCCGGAATGAGGGACCTTCATGGCCTGGTTCTCGGAAGGCCAATCCAATGCCGTGGGATGGTCACAGAATAACGAAAAGAAAGTTTGGTTATTATTAAGGAAATTGTCCCCTACTGAACATGAAAAATATGTGAATTATTATGTTTTGCATAAAAAAAAAGGGAAAACAAAAAAAACAAACAAACGAACAAACCAGGTGAGATAAAATTTGATGAGACTGTTCTAATACTATCAAATATTTTTGGTGTAGGAGTTCATTATTTAATACACAATGGC